GTATATGTGTCACTATTTCTTTGTTTTCTCTTATAATTTTTTTGGGGTACTAAAAGCAATTATTCCCAAATATAGCCATTGCCACTCATTGTTTGCCTTAAATTTGTAGGAAATGGAAGCTACAGTTGTTGATGGTAACGGGACAGAGACAGGTCATATAATAGTCACAACCATTGGCGGTAGAAATGGTCAGCCAAAACAGGTATAACTTTACCGTTCTTTTCTTTCTTTTTTTCTTGGATTGTTGCATATTGTGGTTTTGATACATTAAGCTATACCTCTTGGTACTGTTTTGTCATTGATCTTTATTCATTTTCTGAGTGATAAGTTTTAGTGTACATATATTAAAGCGATTTGCTGAGCTTTCCTTTATACTTGACTAAGTTTCAGTTTTTTTATAAATATTTTGCATGATTGTGAATGGTTTTTAACCATCTATGTAGTTGCTAATCCGGTCATTTTATCAACTTATTTAGCTTTATTCATTTTGTGCCATATATTAGATAATACCAGCTGAAGAAAAGTTTATAATGTTTGTTAATACTGATTTGGCATGAAAAATTTTCCTCATGCATTACTGTGTCTTGTTTAGATGTGAGAAACCATGCTAGATATGATGGTAGTTTTTTTTTTTTACATTTATTTGTTGGTATGAGAGTTTTTATGTACTTGAATTTTTTTGTATTAATTGTATACCTCTAATTGATTGTATCTGCCCAAAATTCCAGACAATAAGCTACATGGCTGAGCGCATTGTTGGACAGGGATCATTTGGAGTTGTCTTCCAGGTAATTATGTTATGTAAGTGGCATGTATTTAATACATTTTTTCAACCGAAATAGTTACCCTTTCTCTTGCTTTTGTAATTTAGGCCAAGTGTTTAGAGACAGGTGAGACCGTGGCAATAAAGAAGGTTCTTCAGGATAAGAGGTACAAGAATCGTGAGCTTCAAACTATGCGTCTTCTTGACCATCCAAATGTGGTCTCTTTAAAGCATTGCTTCTTTTCAACAACTGAAAAAGATGAACTTTATCTTAATCTGGTTCTTGAGTATGTTCCTGAAACTGTTCATCGCGTGATCAAACACTTCAACAAGTTGAACCAAAGGATGCCAATGATATATGTAAAGCTTTATGCATATCAGGTATGGGGTTGATTATATGTATATGGTGTCTCTACCAATGATGAAATTTATAATCATATTTTCATGATATTTTTCTTTGCTATTCTTCGGTACTGTTTGATTGATGGAAACCAATTTTGATCATTATATAGCAATCATTTCTTTTTGATAAATTTGTTGTGAAAATTTATTTCTGAGATCTTGATATATTCTTGTTGCTTGGCAGATATTTAGGGCTTTGTCTTACATTCATCGCAGTATTGGAGTGTGTCATCGGGACATTAAACCTCAAAATCTTTTGGTATGTTCACACAGTTATCTATGTACCTTTGATTTGATTGATTATATTGGTAGGAGACTTCTTTGTCATGTTCATATGGTGGTGTTTTTTTCAATAAAAAACGTTAATATGGACATTTATCTCAAGCATCAACTCTATGTACTTTTTGTTTATTTATGGTTCTATTTATGTGGTGCAGGTAAATCCACATACTCACCAGGTTAAACTATGTGATTTCGGAAGTGCAAAAATCTTGGTATGTTCTGAATTTAGTTTTTGTTTTAATGTCCACCTGATATCATCTCTGTTTGGGTTTGATTGGAAGGTCTGCTAATACTAATTTTGCATGATGTTTGACAGTTGAAAGGGGAACCGAATATATCTTATATCTGCTCCAGGTACTATAGAGCACCTGAACTTATATTTGGTGCAACTGAGTACACTACAGCGATTGATATATGGTCTGCTGGCTGCGTTGTCGCTGAGCTGCTGCTTGGAAAGGTAGGAACTTAACTAAAGGTTCATTAAACTTTGGAGAACTTAATATTTGTATAATTGGCTTAATGAATTTAATTTACATTCTTTTCAGCCTCTCTTTCCTGGCGATAGTGGAGTCGACCAGCTTGTTGAGATTATCAAGGTAAGAATTAGCTTAATTAATATAAGTAGGTTTTATTACTTCTGTGGACGCAACATCATTTCATATTGGCCTGATATGGTTTTCTGTTGAGATGATATTATTTTTCTAAACAATCTTTTCGTATGTATTGACTGAGGGTGAAATTATGGAGTTGTGGGGCAATATTTTACCTGCTCCGAATTTTCCAGTTTTCTAGATATTTTAGCATGTCGATGTCACTTGGAAGATTCCCCTGCTTGGCTTGATAATTGGACTCATGACAATGCTTGTCTTATTGGTTTAATTAGTGTATTATTCCTATTGATTTGATGATCATGCTTCTCATTATGTTAAAAGGAAGATGTGTTGTCTCAATCCTCTTTTTCGGCCTTTGCTAAATTGACTTGCTCCCTAATGCCACATACAATGTAATTGTTTTGCAGGTATTGGGTACTCCTACCAGGGAGGAAATAAAATGCATGAATCCCAACTATACCGAGTTTAAATTCCCTCAAATTAAAGCTCACCCGTGGCACAAGGTATTAGGAGTTATTGAACAAAGTTGCTTTTCGGATTAGAAAGATTATCAATATGTTGTCTTTCCCTTTTCTTTATCATCTAATAATGTTTGGTTGTTTCTCTTTCACTAGATATTCCACAAACGCATGCCTCCAGAAGCTGTTGATCTGGTCTCAAGACTGCTACAATACTCTCCCAACTTACGTTGCACAGCTGTAAAAAAAAAAAAAATTAAAAAAAAAAAAAAAAAAAAAAAAAAAAAAAGGAAAGAAGAAAAGAATTTATTGCTTATTTCTTTTATTTGATATTTCTGAATGAGCTCCAGGGAAGCACCTATTTGGAAAATTAGGAATCTCACAGCTTGTGCTTGTGAAAGAGAAGGGGAATACCCTGTTTGCCTAGTTTACTGAATCATGTGCTTTTCTTTTTAAGCATGTGTTTCATGGCACTGAGCATTAATGTGGTGCGCAAAAGAATTGCGACATGATTGGGCACCACGATGCTGATGTTTTTAATTGGAAAAGTTAAATATTCGATTGTTCATATGTTAGTGGGAGCCATGTCACTTTCATTGATATAAAAGAATTTGTATATAGAATAATGCTGTGGAGATGTCCTTACTTTTTATTAAATTAAGGTTTGAATTCGGCATATTTCCCAAGAGAAGTGACTCTTTGTACAAATTGTTTATTTCTGCTTCTTAAATACACTTGATATCTAACGTAACAATTTTACCTCTATTGCAGTTAGATGCGTTGATCCATCCCTTCTTTGATGAGCTACGTGAACCAAACACACGCTTGCCAAACGGACGTTTCCTTCCACCATTGTTTAACTTCAAATCTCACGGTATGGAATCACTCGAACTAATTTCCTTTAACACCTCCTATCGCAATGCATATTATTAACCGGTCATTCATTCTTGATATGCCTCCGCTGCCGCTCTCTTTCCATCAGAACTTAAGGGCGTTCCTGTGGAAATCTTGGTGAAATTGATACCAGAACATGCCAGAAAGCAATGCTCCTTTCTTGGACTATGACTCAAGATGAGGTGAAGTGAAATGGAACAGGAACAGAACCAAACACAAGGGTGTGTTGGTTTTTCATGAATGGAAGAACTCTTAAGTGTTTGTACTTTGTAACCCCTCTTATCTATTCTATTCTATGCTATTTGTCTTTGTGCCTCTTTCTTCCATGTCGTATGTTGTACCACTATTACCTTATTATTATCATCACTATTATGTAAAAGCAAATTTAGAGTCATGCTGCTACTTGAAACAAACTCAAACTTAAACCTCGATATGGGTATTTTAATATACCTCGTTCTTGTACTTGATCACATTTGTAACATGGCATAGACCCACGATGAAAATATCGAACTTATTATCTCAATGTAAGATCTTATTTAGTGTTATTTGTATTGGGATTTCAGTGTAATTGGTTCCCTCTATATCTATGGAGATTGTGGGTACTCTTGAATCTTGATTTTGCTTGAGTTGGTATCCTTCATTTTCAAGAGTTTAATGTCATTTCATTCCTCAGGTTAAATCTAATGATAATTTCTCCTCACTTTTTTATATTTTTGTTGTTAAAAGTTTCTGTTTTGCTCTTATAACAAACTCTTTTATATGTTTACCTGGCAACAACGCCTGCAGTTTCAAATTTGTGTAAGGAGAGTGATTCAATGAAACAAATAGAAGTGGGGTTTGGGTTATGATGAGAAATTATGAGGGGCTTTTTAAAAACTTTAATTGAAGATGCTTTCAAGAATGTAAAGGTGTTGTTGTTAAGCATGTAAATAAGAGGATTGGTAGGGAAAATATGAAATATCCCTAAGTACAACTCTTATAATTTTGGACTCTTAATTTTTATTTATTAATGACCCAAAGTGTTCGGATTAGGTTGTGTATATTTCAATTAATCTCTCATGACCTTGAAACTATTAGTCGGTGAGAGCTTTAATGACCATCTTGTGGGAATAATTTTTGTTAAGTATCTATTTTTTTTTTTTAATATATAGAAATGGATCTTTATTATTTTATTTTTTTTGAAAAATAAAAGTATTCACGAAATGATAATAATCCTTGGACGAAGGGCAATTTTGTTTTAAAATATGTGAGATGGTTATTTCAAGGAGACAAGGATAAGCTATCTTTCAATTAAAACCCCAAAAAGGGTTATTTAATATAATTTCTGCTAAAAATATATATAAATTTGATATAATATTAAAACTAGTCAAAATAAAAATATAGTTTTTCCCTTGAGATTTCATGAAATATTTATTTCTCTTTTAGGTATCAAAAATAACTTACCCTCTACCGTCTATATTCTGTTAGGGTTTTGCTATTTTATTTAACAGATTAAGTGTATATTATGTTAATTAATTAACTTAAACCTAAAAAATAGTGACAAAAGGGGTAAATTGTTATTTATGATATTCGAGGGGGGAAATTAAACTCAATTTTAACTCAGTACCTAACATAACTGAAAAGAAAGCGAGAGATAGAGCTCTCAAAGAAGAAGAAGAATTAAAGAGAGAAATGGTAGTGGGAAAGTACCACTGCGACTACTGCGACAAGCAATTCCAAGACACCCCTTTCGCTAGGAAACGCCATCTTCAAGGCGTTCAACACCTCCGTGCCAAATCTCTTTGGTACGATTCCCTCTCTGCCCAAGGTATCCTCCTTTTCACTCTTCTTATTTATTTATTTATTCATTCTTATACTCACCAATTCGATATTATGCCTCATTTTCTTCCTTGCAGTCAGCCAGCAGTCTTTCCCTGAAGGGAAGAAGGGTCTCTGCCATCAGTTCATCAAAACGGTGCGTTTTGGATTCTTTTTCTATTTTCATGTTTATGTGTTTATTTATTTATGTGGCTAGTTACAATTGTACATTAAAATGGAAAAGAGTTTGGTTTAAATTTTTGAGTTTTATTTATTTATTTATTGATTTATTTTTTTATTCATGTGTATCTGGGTTTGTGAGTTGTTGTGTTGGGTACATATTGGTAGAATTTGCGCTTAAAACCGGCTTGTAAGGAAGGGGGGCTAAATATTTATGAGTCCAATTGTCACGGAGGTGTTGAACGTCTTGAAAACGGCCTTTTTTGGCAAAAGGGGTGTGTTTAAATTGATAGTAGTTCGTTTAGGTGGTTGGATCTTTTGTGGTTGTATACAAGGTTTCGAGATTGACTCTTGTTAATATCAGGGAGGAGAGAGGGGGTTTGGTTTATATTTGTAAGTTTCAAAAAATAAAAAAATGTGCCCTTCATTGGCGTTGTGGGTAGTATTTAGATGGAATTTAGCTAATATTAGGGTGGACAAGGGTTTGGTTTAAATTTGTAAGTTTGGTTCTTTTTTTCTAGAAACAATGTTTATTGGGTTTAGTGCAATTATAGGTAGTCTTCTTATCTCGAAAATGTAGGCAAATCTCCATGTAATGTAAGGGAGGTTTTGGATAAATTTTATGAATCTATAATGGAGGTCTTTAAGGATTTTAGGAAGATTTGCAATGGTTCTCGAAACTTCAGGAGAGGTTTATCTGGTTTGCGGGTGGTATTTAGTTCACTTGGTTCACCTGACTGAATCTTTTGAGATTGAGTATGCTCAGACTCAGGTGGGAAGGGGTTTAGCTTAATTTTGTAAGTCTGAGAAAAAAAGAAAAAAGAATTTTTGAAATTTTTATATGGGTTAGGTCTAATGACAATCAATCTCCTAATTTAAAATTAGAGGCAAGTCTCTGTCCAATGCAAGGAGGTTTTTGATAAATTTTATTAAACCATAATGGAGGTCTATGTGGATTTTAGGAAGATTTATGAAAATTTTTGAAACTTCAGCAGAGGTTTCTGTTATTTTTCAGAATTTTTCTAGTTTATGTTGTTATTGTTTTGATTTGCTTGTGCTTATATGTGCTCTCTTGTAATTTGGTTAATTTGGTTTGAAGTATTCTTGCCCATATGGTGATTCTTGTAAATACCTTCATTTCAAGGTCAGCAATCCACAAAAAGCAGAGACTCAAGGTATTGCAGTTATATTTTACGTCTTCAAAATTCTAAGAGTTATTTTATATCTTTTCTGTTAAGTTTCAAGGAAAATAGGTTACAAATGTTTTCTTGCAATCTAATGTGATTTAACTATTTCAGCTACTGGCTTTATAGATAATGCTCAGTCATCATCAGTTGATCCAAGAATTCAATTAGTTGGTGGAAGCTCTTTGCCTGGTAAATTCAATTTAGTTGTTGCTTAGGTTTGAGTTATTTTTCAGTTGATATATTTTTTGTCGTGTTCCATTAACCTTTTTGTTTGTTTTATCCTCTTGTTTTGTACCAAGTTATATTTTTATAGTTTTTGTCTTTTTTAGTGACCCTCAAATCACATTATTATTTTGTATTAACAGTTAGGCTAGAGTGAGTATATGTTCTTTTATGATGAAATAGTTCCACAAATTTATGGCTTCTTTCTTTTTTTTTTTTCTTTTAACTGGATGCTTACTTTGTTCTCATTGCAATTCACAGGTGATGTGGTGAGAGATAGTATGGGAATGTCATGGGGCAATCTACCTCCATCGCTAAAGCCTCCTCCAGAGGGGGGATATCCACCTCCTCCCTTTGTGGATTGGGGATAGCGCTGCTGTTTCATTTAGTCATACCTTTTTTCAAACTCGTAATATGAAAGCTGAGATATAGTTTCTTGTCATGTCAGTTAGATTAAGCGTATTCTTCTGTATCTACTACTTCAATTCTGCAATGTGGTTCCTGTAGTTACATACCCTCCTCAGCTATGGATTGTTATGGACAGATTTTGCTTGCTTATATTTTACTCTCACGGTGTGGGGCATTGGAAAATTCAGTATCTATGTTGTATGCTTGTCTTATTAATAGAGACCTTTAAATCCAACGGTTGAATCCTAGTTTGCTTGTGCTAGATTATACTCTATTGCTAGTTTTATTAGAATAGCTGTATTGTGTTCTTTACCCTTGTGCTGTGTTAGGGAAGTAGATAGATTAAAATAGAGTAAAAAAAAAGATAATCATATGTATGTTGAAATAGGAAGATCATGGTAATGTTACATTGTTACTTCAATCTGCCATTTTAGGAATATTTTATGTTTTTTCTTTCTTTTGAGTGCTTCCTTCTGATCTATCTTGTGTGGTCTCAATTACTTTCCAGAGTAGATGCTTCTTTGTGTTATTCGATGTAGAAGCTTGCTTCATCTATATGTTTCAATCTTTGCCATTATAAGATCCATATGATCATGCTATACATTAGGGGGTGAGTTGTGCTTCAGCACAACAGAGAATAAGAAAGCAAGGCTGGAAAATAGCACGCACATTGCTGACAATATGAGTATGTCTTTTTCTATCCTTTCATAGCTCAAACTTCTCCCTGTTGCCAGTCTATCCCACACATAAGAACCATCTGGCAATCTTGGGCACCGGCATTCTGATCCACAGTTCTTTGTATCACAGTAAAAACTGATAGCAGTCATCGCATTGATTGCATACTGGAATGGATTTGTCCAATACATCCACTGATAGAACTTTATGTCAGATAGGACAACGACCACTCCAGAGGCAGACACCCACAGTGATGTTACTATCGACACAGCAAAAGCAGCTAGTGTTGGCACTGGTGCTAGGAATGTGATCATCATTCCGAAATAAGTTACACAGAGTGTGAACATGAATAACACAATCCAATACTTGAAAAATTCTGCAGCTGATCCTGTTCCAATCCCTGCCATGCCATTCCCAATCCCTGCTACTGCAAGTGTTGCAATGAAAAAGTAAGGAATCTCCCCCACTGCCCATGATAGCGGATAAAAGATTGGAAGGTACATTCCAGACCTTTTCTCTCGAAAGTACACCAACCTGTCTGTGCCAATTTGGGGAATAACATTGTTGGCTGAGATCACACCTATGAGTATTACTTGCATGTAGATGTAAAGTGAACGTGAAGTCGCACCGTATGTATCACTGTATTCAATTTGAAAATACAGAGAACCCATTAGGAGACCAATCATAATGCATCCTGTAAGTCTACCATATGTATATTGTACATTCCTCCATAAGAATCTTTGGGTTCTTAGCAGTACCAGAACAGCTTGCAGAGAATATGGAGTTGGATAAGTAGCAAATGGATTCTTTGATTTCTTGTTCTTGGTGAACTTCTTTATAATGGAAATTTCGTTATTGTTGGTCTCTTGCAAGGTGCTAGCCTTGTAAATTTCTGCAAAATTTATTGAAGGATTACCCCTCTTTGTTATTCCTAAGCCAAGAGCCCCCATGATATAGCTAACTGGACTTTCTCTTCTTGAATACGGAGGGGTCTTGCAGATTGATGTAAAATATTCCAACATTTTGTCACAGTTGGATCCTGTGGGACCAAAATATGCTTGATTCCCTTCCTTTGTTAGAATGAGAGCCAGGTCAAAGAAGGACAGTGTGCGTGCATTAGGATGTGTTAGAGAGACAACAATGGTTCGTCCTGAATTTGACACTTGAGAGAGAATATTAAGAATGTTCAAAGTTCCAGTGGTATCAAGGCCAGAAACTGGTTCTTCAAGGAGGAGAATACTTGGGTTTGCTGCCAGCTCAACCGCAATGGTAATCTTTTTGGCTATTTCAAATGTTTTTCCAGTGGCATCACGAAGGGAGCCAACCAGTTGATTGCAATAGGGAAGTAAACCAAGTTGGTTGAGGACCAGCTCGACATGGATATGACGGTTCATGGGACTAATTACTTTTCCAAGACGAAGTGCAGCACTGAACTGAAGGGACTCTCGTACAGAGAGGTAAGGTTGGTGAGCATCGAGCTTCTCAACATAACCTATTAATCTAGAAGAAGCACCTGTCTCGAAGCCACTTGTCTGGAGGTTGCCGTTGAAGCTGCCAATTAGAGGTATTCTTCCTGCCAAGCATTTAAGGAGTGTGGCCTTACTTGTTCTAGAACCACCTAATAGGGTTAACATGTTCTGGGGTTTAGCATAGCCTGTGATGTAGCTGAAAACTGGTGTACTCTCATTTGATCCTTCTACATACCTGATGCACAGATAACAGTGTTATTACATTATATATATGGGTTGGAGAATTATGGTTGGTTTTGTTTTTTTCGGTTCCAGATAATCATATTCTCTTTGGGAAACCTAAGAAGTTGATGAGGAAAAACCTAGAACACCTTGAAAGATTGTAGTTGCAGAGGCTGGAGGAACACACCTGGAAAATGACAGATTCTCAAATAGGAGAGTCACCGGCTCCACTGGAATGCCGAGTCCACTCTCCTCCATATCAATATGGTATTCTTTGATGCTAGTATTTGGATGGTCATGTTCTGAATATAAGTTCTGTGGGGCAGAATATCTGGAAAATTCATCCAAACTGTTGCCATTTGTATTCTGCGTCTGTAATTCACTCTCTGAATCATCATCATAATCTTTAATTTTTGGAGTCTTTCTGAGATAAGGTAATGACTGGCTTGTTCCTGTGAATTCTATATTCTTTAACCCCCATAATGCCAAGAAGTTGGCGAGCACTATCCACCCCAGTAGAATAGCATAAGGTAACCAAGTTCTTTTGGCATCTTCAGAAAGCTCATAAAAGGTCAGGTAAGCTTTTCCTACTGTCATTGTTGGGAACTGGTCACAGAAAGGAAGTTGGGTACGGTAGTTTGAGCAGGGGTCTCTGTAGCCCTCACTGAATTGGTATTTGCAAAACAAGACGTTAGCCCAGTGAATTGGATTCACATAGATGAGCCATTTCCAGTAAGTTGGGACATTGGATGGATAGATCACAAAGCCACTGAAGAGTAGGAAGATGGAAACTAATAGACCTGTGTGAAGCAAATAAACACGATATAGTTGGTTACATAACCACTTTCGGAACGGATAAACTGGAATCAACTGGGTTTTGGATAATTTGAAAATTATTAAGTGATGCATAAATTTGTAAGAGTGATACAGTGATTTATAAAAGATTATGAGTATGACAGCTGAAGGTCAGATTTACTAGGGAAAACATTGTGTTTTTTTGCCGATGTTAGGAATGTAATAGATGTCTATTTATTCCTAATGTCGGTGTTGCAATGCCTGAATTTAAAGTGTGGAAATCTTAAAGATCTGTATGGTCAAAGTGTTCATATACTTTGGGTAAGGAAAATTACTGGCTCTTTCATGATTATTTTCTGATTAGGTTTTAGTTTTTTATTAATCCAATCTCATTATTTTGCTTGTTTGTCATGCACAATCAGATACCTGCCAAACTGTTTCCAACTTCTGGAATTGAGGAGATGGCACTTAGAAAGAAGAAAACTGATGAACCAAAGTATGCTACTAAGAACAAGAGAACCAGATACTCGAGAAATGGTGTCACATTTCCTGCCAATGATAGCCCGGCTAGAAAGTAAACACACAGAGTGTATACCAATGCCTGCAAGAATTACTGAAGATTTCAGTTCTGTGACTTCCATGATTATTTCTAACGAGGAAAAGATATTGAGAACTTACTTCTATGAAGGTCTGAGGGAAATTGACTATGCAATGAGCTACTACGTAGGAAGAAGTTCTGAAGAATCTCTTTGCCCTATGCTTGTAAAATATAGGTCTTTGTAGCATGTACAAAGGAAACTGCACCAGATTTATGAGCATTATGCTCATGGTGGATACAAACCCAAGTGCCCTTACCGAGTTCATTTTCTGTTGGTTGTACTGACCCCCAAGTTTGTAGAACAGTGATCCTGCGAACAGGCCAAGCACAATTGCCTGCAAAGTTCAAGCATCAATTAGTTTTTCACTTGTATATATTGAATTGTCTCTCTAATTGTCAGCTTTCTTCATGCGTCTTTCTAAGCATCGCATAACTTGAATATTGTATTTGACGTGTTTAGATGAGTCTAGTGATCTACATTATCAGGGATACTATGGAGAATGTGGTAAAATTTGACCTGGAATAGTCTTAATTTGATTAAAGCATGAAGTCTCTTGGTGATCTTGATTTGTCTTGTGATAAGAGTCTTTGTAGATTTCCGCCAAGTCTGAACAAAGGGCTTTTGGAACTGCTCCCATTGAGTGTGGTACTCATCTTCCTGTAAGTTAGAAAAACTTGGTCACATTAGGCAATTTCATCCATTATTTCTCAAGTTATGTGCTAGCTCCTGCTTGAAGCTCAATTATGTTTTAAGAAACTGACCAACAGATCAGCTAATCTTCCCTATATTGCTCGTTTGCAAGTATGAAATGTCATTTATGTACCTCTTCTGTGTAGCGCTCGACCTGGAGATGAATGTGACCTTGTTCTTGCTTCAACATTGAGTATACATGTGCAGCACGTTCACGCTTGGTCTTTCGAGGTCCAACAGAAAGGTACTGCATTTCTTCATTGTTCATAGATATTGCTGTGACAACATCTCCGATTTGAACCCTTCCTGTGCTCTCTATTCCCCCAGAGTTCCCTATTTTGGTAGAAACCTTGGCAACCACCAATTCTGCAGTTAAAGAACTCATCAATGTGGTCCATGAACTGCACATATTGTTAGAACAGTTGCAGATCCCTGATTTTGTCACAACATGAATTACTTACCTGTATCTCTTCTCGGCCGAGCATCAACTGAGCTGTGGTACTTGGATGGCGTTTTTAGGGACAATCCAAGCCCAGGCTCACTTTCTACCCAATAGGTATGCTTCATATCATCTCCATTAATAATTCTCATTACATCTTTGTAGTGATCTGAAACTCTATAACACTCTACTAGTTCATCTAGGGTCAAGGGTATTGCTCCTAGTGCACAATATTGGGAACCAGCTCCAACCACGATATCTTCAATAAACTCATGGGACTCCACATATGAAGGCTTGACATACCTGAATAAAAACCAATAAACGCTTGCTTTAGTGTCCGAATAGCATAGTTGTGTAAGCATCTGTTATATCTGCTGCATCTACTAATAATTTACTACCCGAGTTTAGCAAAGTAGGGAATGGCATCTTGGCGAGGCCCTTGGTACATGATGTGACCATTGCTAAGTAATATGATCCTATCAAAAAGATTGAACACCTCCTCTGAGAGTTGGGTCAATGACATTATTGCAGAAGATTGCTGAATTCTGCTGATGGCTCTTATGGTATCAACTAGGTCATATGTAGCTACTAAATCTGACCCAGAAAAGGGTTGATCATAAAGCATGACAGAATACGTTCCAAGTGCTAATTCAGCTGTTGTGAGCTTCTGGCGATCGATGTCTGAGATTTCTTCTCCAGCAAGTTTGTTTTCTATCTCTTTCAAGCTCAAAATTTCTAGCACATACTCCAGAAATGGATCTTGTCCCTCCACAAGTGCATGAGCAAAAAATTTTCTCATCTGAGGCGTGAAGTTCTCTGGCCCAAGACCCTGAGTACAGTCCCTTGCAAACTCAAGTGTCTCGCGAACTGATAGAAACGGTATGTGTCTGCAATTTTCACAAAAAGTAACATTGTTAATCTAGAATCACTAGTTGTTTGTGATGATTGTCTGTAAAGAACAAAATTATGGAACTCTGTTGCTGAATCAAGACAATTGCCGATATCCGGTATCCCTTGAATGAAAACTTTTACATGTTTTACTTGTTCATGGTTGAATAGTTTGTCAGGTGATGTTAATAAAATGGATTTGGAGAAAACTTAACTTGTTAAGTTGGCCACTGCTGTATGCAATGAGTCTACTAAGATGAATTTCTGAGGCATACTTGTCATTGTACTTGACTGTTCCATCCAAGATAGAGCTCTTAGTTACTTTCGCTGTCCCTGCTAAAACTTCAAGAAGAGTGCTCTTTCCACTCCCTGTAAAATTTGATTTATAGATTATTTTATACACAAAGAAATGTGAAATTTTGGGGATGGCAGAAAAACCCCGTGGGGTGGATACCGGAAAAAAACTGGTTCCACAGGAATCCCTAGAAAGTCTAGGGTTGGGGTAGGGATGGGGAAATTATATCCCCACAACTGGGGACGGGGTGGGGAAGGCGAAAATCCGCATGTAAAAATATATAATATAAATTAAAAAAAAATAAAAGAAAAAAAGAGTAAATCCAAGGAATTTCGGGCACAAGGTTGGGGCGAGTATTGCATTCCCTCTTGAGGATACCCTATCCTGCTCCCAAAAATCTGGGGTTGGTGCTAGGGTTAGATAGGATGACATTGTTACAAGGACGGGGTTAGGAGCTCAGAAATTGCCAACCCTATGAAATTCTAAGGTTGAGAATTCGATACCAATCTGTGTTAATTTAAGAAGCATAATATCATTTTATGTTAATTTAATATTTGCTATCGACTTGGTTAAAGAATTCGATACCAATTTGTTTCAATCCAATGATTATCAGCTCGATAATACTCCCTCTGTTTCAAAATAAAATTCGTTTTGAGGGTAATAATTTTTTTTAAAATAAATGACGTTCTTTATTCATATCTTCGTTCTCCACCCTCCCCTCATCTCCTCTCTCCACCTTTTTCTCTACCCTGCCCACACTCCTCTCTCTCTCTCTATCTCTTCCCCTCACCTCTTCTCTTTCACAATTTGTCTCTCTTTATTTTAATATTTCACACACACGTTGCAGCAGGAAAAACAAAATTTTCCCACCTACAATATGAGAAAAAAGTCAATTTTCTACATAGTTTTTGATTCATTAAAAATTGTGTAAAAACTTAAAACGACACTTATATAGAAATGGAGGGAGTATTACTTACCTGGTGGACCGAGGAGGAGGGTCATTGATCCAGGCATAATGTACCCATCCACACTCTTCAGAATCTGCAGCCATGTTGAGTTTTTGCCCTGGAAAAGAGTCTTGAGAGGCTCAACAAAACACCCCACCAGTTTATTTCCAAATGTTTCATATTCATTCTCAGAAATCTCAAACTTTTTTGAGTACTTAATCCCAGAAAACCTTACAACCTGCAAATTAAAGCATTGCCTCCATAATGAATGAGTGTTCTCTTTCTGCCTCCAAATCTTACAAATTGGCTACTACTAGTCGTCGTTACAGTTACAAGTTAGATTATTACAAGCTGTCATCTAGTAATCAAGATTTTTTCTTACCTGGGCTAATTTTTTTCTAGTACGATATATATTATAGGTATGAGAAAAAACTATAGTCAACCTTATCATTACAATAATACATGGTCTTAAAATTAGAGATTTTTCATTATGATTAAAAATATTTAGAGAGATTTGTTTTAGAAAAGCAGAAGTGATTTGAAGTCTTGAAACAGAAACAAGTCACAACTATGAATTAAAAGAGTGTTTATAAGAAATAAATTTATCTTGTGATAACATTGTCGCATATTATTTTCTTTTCCTTTACTCTTTGTTATAATATAACTGTATATTATAAGAGAATTAAAAGATTAATCGTCCTAGAAGAGTTAAAGAAGAAAATATTTATTACTGTAATAAAAGATTGTTTTATCTACATATTTAGAGAGATGGAGAAACATATTTAAAATAGTCAAAGAAACTAGTATAAGTCCTTATTACAATTATTATTTTAAGACCTGACCGTTACGAGACTCGACAAGGTGACTGAGTCAACCAGGACTGGTGATGACGTGATGTCAACAATAAAAGTATTTTTAAAAAATTATAATTGTCCCTTAAATTTTAACATATTATAAAATACCCCTAATAATTAAAATTAGTTCCTGAAATTTTATTATATTTTAAAAATTTCCAAAAAAATTAATAATCCCTAAAGTTTTGAAATATTTCAAAGACACCCCTAAAAATTTATTAGTCCTTATAAATTTGAAATATAACAAAAACCCCCCTAGAAAGTGGAACCTAAACCGGACCAGAGAGGCTACCAGGTCTCAGTCGGATTGGTAAGACGACTAGTCCGGTCTGGGTTTTAAAATAGAAATTAAAATCACAAACCTGGTAAATTATTAAAAGTCCGACAAGTTCACTAGTTTATCATTTCTGATACAAATTTAACTGTCGATATCATAAAATAGATCACTCTATATTAATTATTACAAACCATAATTTAGCAAAGTACAAGGTTATTGTTGATTATTATAAATTCATCGTTATAGTTACAGCAAGACTTATGAAATAACAATAAAGACCATAACCAAACAAAAATGATTTATAGTATTCATTTTTTATTTATTTGATAATTACTTTTCTTTTTTTCTTTTTATTATAATTTTTGCATATGTCATCTAAGAAAAGTCTTCAAATATATATATTCCTATTCAAGAAATTAGAACCAATACATCACACAATTAAAATTAATGGAGTCAAACTTTTAATAATGAAATATAGCCAGCAAAATATTTTTTATTTAATTTTCCAACAAAATCATTTAATTATAACCAGAGTCCAAAGGTAAGAAATGCCAAAGAAGAACTATCATAGTCAAATACTAAAAGAGACAAAAACAAAAGATCCCCTCAAGCCAAAGTGAAGATCCATTGCTTTCTTTCATTTTTGTTTTATAAATTATAATAAAAGTTTTCTTTTAATTATTTATTTATTTTTTGTGTAAATAAAATTTTGCTACAGCTTTAATAGTATTATTGTAAAAAAAAAAAAATATATATGGAACAATTTTTTAAGAGTCAATTAATTTTCTCTTAATTTCTTAAAATTACATTACAAATAGAAAATAAAGTACTCTTTTAAGTGACTTAGAACAAAAAAATGTGGTACTAGAAAGCTTAACCGGTAAGATCTCTCGTAAACATATAAAAATTACTCTTAGATATCAAATCTCATTTACATTAAGGTCAAGAATAATTATTTTAAATTCATTTTAGAGTCCAAAAATAATTTCTTTTTTAAAAAAAAAAAAAAAATTTGAGAATAGTATTACCCTTATGTGATTTGCAACAAAAAACAGTACTACTGAAATTTAACTGGTAAGATCTCTCGTAAACGTATAAAAACTACTATTAAATATTGAATCTTGCCCAGTTCAGGTTTGAAAACAATTACTTTAAATTTATTTACGAGTCCGAAAATATATATATATAGGGAAAAAATATTTACCTGCTGAGGAATAGGAGGTGTAATTCTAGCCATGTCTGTAAGGTAACTAACGAAACCATCTTTCAACAAATAGTCCATCCCTAAAAGCTCTTCACTCTTCTTCTTTTTCATGATAACTCCATTTTCATCTTCTTGTTCTTCCATTTCTTCAATCTCAGATAATGCTTTGGCAGCCTCTTCTCTCAAACCATGCCTCTTCATGCTCTGATACATTCTCAATGCAACATCCCTCGCCGTTTTCGGTGAAGCCATTTCTATCTGTTGCCTCACTTGTGGTGATGTTCCAACAGAAATGTCTTGCATACTAGAACGCTCGTCAGCTACACCAAGTCCAGCATCATCGCGAACCCATGACATGGATTTGGAATAATTATTCGATATATTAGTACCAGAAGGGTCATCAAGTTTATCAAGCCCAATACCGTTGCGAACCCACCTCTTGGAACTTGAAGGAGAAGGAGAATAATCTTGTGAATTCTCTTCCATTTTGTTTTAATATTCTCCTTTTAGATTTTCAGGTATTTCAAGTTTTATTTGTTTGATAATAAAGAGACATCTAGGTTTCAAGCTATATATGTATCATGCATGCATCATGCATAGTTATATATATATATTTTGGAAATTAATTTGAAGAGAAAGTGGGAGAAATTTAATTTAAGTGCAATATTTTGAAGTAACTCAATCGTGAAAGTCGGCTTGTGAAGTGCCACCTGGAAGAACGAAAGGTGAATGAGGACAAGGAGATAAAGACAAAATATATATATATATATAATGTGTCATCTAAAAAAAATCTGGACTTTAAGAAGTTACCAATATGAAAATTTTCATATACGTAGAGTAAACGACATTTCCCACCCAAGGTTTGCCTTCCCACTCAAACAGTTTTAAAATACCACTTTCTAATCAAAAATTTATATTTTGTTGGTATCAAAATACACTTTACTTTCTCAACTAGCACTTGGTGGGTTACCTGGAGCTAGGGTAAAAAGAGTTTTTTAGAGTAAAGGCTGGTGGATCGAATGGTGGTGAACAAGAAACATTAGCTTTGTAGTGGTCGATAATTCCTGAGAAATCAGATTCCGGAGTGAAAGAGTTTTTGTAGAGAGGAGACTAGAGGTTTAAACCAGAATCGGCTTTGGATAGTAATAGAATATTAACTTTGGGTGGAAAAGTGTCATTAATGCAAACCTTGGGTGGGAATAAGTCATTTTCTCTAAACGTATACATTAAAGTGTGGACCAAACAAAAATGAAGCATAATTGAATGGTCGATTTGTAAGTTAATATATTATTGTTTGATTTTTGACAGATGTATACATGTCTTTGTATAGAAAATATATCAAGGTTCTTGTAAATTGATACATGATAATATATATGCATAAAATTGAGATATCATATTCTTGTGTCTCCACCATAATTAATTAATGACAGAACTAAGGCCAATATAATAAATTGAAATTGGCCTGCAAATTAAAGAAGTATTCATAAATTTGACCAAATTAATGAGATTGATTCAGTCTTACAAATTATTAAGTTAAATTTTCAGCCTCGAACATATATAATATGTTTAAACGGCAGGCCTCTTCTGCCAATTTTCTAATCTTAATGAAGAAGCGTTCGATAAATCTAAATTATGATCCTTTCTTGATATAAATTGGCCTAAACTTTTACAAATTGTATTGACACATGTATAATAATAAGTCATATGTTTTATCTATTTTATTTACCACTACTTACAATCTTTAAGCACCTAAAAATTATATCATAAGGTATTTTGGTATGAGTAACATTAACCTTACAAAGAGTCATACAAAGAGACAATCTTTACCCTTAAATTTCATGATTGTCTTTTTCTTTTTCCCTTCTTTTAAGGGTAGGGATTATCTCTTTATATGATTTTTTGTATGTCTCTTTGTAAGGCTAGTGTTACTCTTTTGGTATAAGCAAAATGAGAATTTATATGATAAAACACTTAATTCATGATATAAAAGTACCTAATTTTTTTTTTTTTTTTTTAATAATGAGGTATTAGATCAACTTACGCATACTTGACTAATCCACAGGGAAAAACTATCTTACAACAATAACCGTCATGGCCTCCTAAGTAAATTATGGCAAAATCGTAAAAGTGCTATCTTTGTGCTTAGCGGAAAACGAACCTGGAACTATGTTCTGTCGTTTGCAGCCCCTTGGCCCGCCCTTAATAAATAATCTTTTTGTTGGATGGGTGAAAAAAAAAAAAAAAAAAAAAAAAACCTCGGTATGAATCAGTTTATATTTTGAACATCAGTGTTTTCGGAAAGTATTACAAATCATTCGTCCCTCGAAATTTTATATTTATAAGGGCACTTGAAGTTGACCCATGTGATGTTAATGGAGGATTTATACTAAAGTATCAAAAATCTTGTGAATGATTTCACTTCTTTATATGCAAATGCGATTCACATTTTTATTTTATATACTTTATCATATGCTTATCATTTAACTTTACCTAAAGTTTTGTCCTATTACAAGCACATGTATGTAATGACAATAAAATGTTACGAATCTTCCCATCTCTTTTACAAATCATCGATAAATATTACAATACTATCATTAAATGTTACAAAGAATCCACATTTAAACAGGAATTATTCACTATTATTATTCATTGATCATTTTCATTGTTGTATTATAAGACCGGGAGTAAACAATTTTTCCCACCCAAGGTTTGCCTTAATGAATTTTCCCACTAAAGTTTATATTCCGTTATACCCAAAGCCGATTCCAGCAATGAAAATTCTCTTCGTCACCATCCTATGAACCTCCGGTTTCTCTCTACAAAATCTCTCTCACTCTGGTACCTGATTTCTCGCCTACTACCGGCCACCGCAAAGCTAGACTTTCCGTTTTAGTTGATTTCTAATTGATTCAACGACAAGTTTCAATCGATCACCACCATTGATGAACCGACCTCTACTCTACAAAATCCATTTTATCTTGATCTTGATAACTAATCGAACGCTAGTTGAGAAAGTGAAGTGTATTTTGGATATTAACATAATATAAGTTTGGGTGGGAAAATGGTATTTTGAACTTTTGAGTGGAAAACTGTCATTAAGGCAAACCTTGGTGGGAAAAAGTCGATTACTCATAGAGTAATGTTACACTTATAAAGAAATCTTACAAAGACTTCATACAAAATGATGTGACAAAAATGAATGGAATAAATATAATGAGTTTGACTTTTTTTTTTTTACTTTCATTCATTTTTTGACATCTTACTTTATATGAAAATCTTTGTAAGATTTCTTTGTAAGTATAATATTATTATACTCATAGACCTGTCATAAAAGATGTATTTTACATTTCTTGTTCCAAGTTCACCTATGTTTGAATGATAGGTCACTTATGTTTTTTTGATAATTATCAAAACCCTCTTATAATTTAAAATTTAAAAAAAAAAAAAAAACACTAGTGTAGGTGCACTTCAAATTAAACGATCTCACAAAATATATGAAATTAACCTTTACTAATGATAAATCAACCCGGGGTTTTTTTTTTTTTTTGTTTAAAGGTGAATCTTGTAAGCTATAAGGAAATTTTTTCGTTACTTTTATGTTAAAAAACATGCTTCAATTCACACTCAAAGGAGAAATCTAATGCAACAAAATTTAAAACAATATACATCAATTTTTAATACTAAGAAAGTTAAATTTTAAGCATTTGGCATCCACAAATAAGCCTCAGAAGAGCAAACTGCAGTATCAAAATCAAGAGTTAGTCAAGAATGAAAAGTTAAGGAAGATAAAAGAACAAGAGGTCGACGAATGCAAGCAAACTTTAAATTTATTTGGATATGAACAAGAACAATTTTCAAGATCGTAGTCGAAACCTTCGAAAAAAACATCAAAGAAGAGGCAAGTGCCACAAGTACATTTCATTTCATTCACAAACCACTGATCTCTGTTTATTAAAGCATTTTCAGTAATACTCGTCGATCCACCTTTAAACACATGGCCAGTTACAATACACAAAGCATATGAGTTCCTGGACATTGAGATGTGGGTGGATGACAATAAGTTTCACTAATACAGAGAAGCAAGTACCTCCAACAAGGAAGCTGCGAACTGCATTTGGGTCTCCTCGTCGATGGTTAAGAAGAGAGGCACATGAACAAAGAGTGATTTCGTCCCATTCTGCTCTGCAAACCGAAGGGAATGATAGTAAACATAATTGCATACAAATCGGCCTGCATCATTGGAAGTAAGCACCTCATAACCCTTCTTCGCCAAGGTCTTTGTCATCTCCTCAACAGGTAAAGTAGTCTGCATTTTGGACAAACAATATATTTAGGATGGATGAATTAGAGGAAATTATACAAAACCATGGTAAGACAAAAGCAATTGTCGTGTCAAAAGCATTTTCACCACATTAGCTACAAAGTGCATTCTAAAATCCAAAAACTTTTGCCACCACAAACGAATGATTCTAATAATCTTAATTTCCATTTACAAATTTTGAATAATAGAAAACTTCAGACAAGTTTAATATCCCCAAGGCAAACTTATCTCATTCTAAAAGAAGTACAGAATTTAAGCACATCAACTTGGGTACATCGCGGAATAACGCATTATAAAAAGAAATGCTTGATTTTTTATCATTTTAACAGCTAAATAAAGCATTCTTTTTTCAAAATTTAAAAACCAGCAAGCAGTTCCTTTTCCACCACCAATAAGTTACATTTCTTCCAATCCCATTACATTTTCTTTGAAGAAAAAAGAAAAAAAGAGGAAAAAAAAACACTTTTACACTGAGCATAAGAGTTATAAAAAGAGAACTACCCCAAGCGTGTCCTGCAATCTGGTGAAATCTAGGGACACGAAGTCTATGGATAGTTCACATTTTAGCACACAACATTAATTCCAAAATAACTTGCAGCATGTATTGGAAAAAAGTTAAAAAGGAATCATGAAATCTCTTCTACCTCTCGTACTCGTGTTATTTCACCGTCTGTGGGAACAATGGGTACTTTCTGAGGAAAAATAACCAAGTATTAGTAAATGATTATTTGGAAGGTCGAGACAAGAAACTGCAATTGAAACAGAGAAACTTATGGGTATATCTAACCTGAGGTTTCCATCCCAGCTCATCAGGACATCGGAAAGTAGCTTCATTAAAAGCTTGTTGCTCAATTGCGAATCTTGTTGCACCACTGTTGACTCCAAAGTGAAGCTGCAGGAACATTGCCAGGACGGACAATTAACATAATACACAAATGTCAAAGAAAGTTCCATTACACCTAAGGCATGTTCTACAGATGATGGAGTTCGAATTATCAAATTCAAGAAACATTGTTAGGAAAGACACAAAAATAATCCCAGTTTGGTTCCAGCTTCAGGCTTTCATTTGCAGTAGCATAAAATCTCTCAAAGACAAGGTAAACGCATCTACATTGATTGTCTAATACTCACATGATCCAGTTTTCGTGTGCAATAGCAGTAAATCCTCTCAAAGCAATATAAAAGCATCTAAATAAATAGTCTAATACTCACAATCACAGCCTAAAAATGTAATCTTCTTTCTGAAGTTATGGAGAGACCTTTATTGATAATAAGTGGAACTGCATCATTTATAGAGAAGCAAGAAAGCAAATCATAGGTTCAACAACTAGCCTTTTTCAAAAAAAAAAATTTCTCTAAATCATATTGCAACCGCAGAGACCTCCAACTCCACTGTGGATGGGATTTAATTCTGAGACCTCTTGTACAATTACAAGAGAACTTACAAGCAACACCAGCTAGATCCCCTAGTTCCAATGAATTGTTATTAAGAAATATTTCTAATCATAATCTGCAACTACGGCCAATCCTAAGTCAATCCAAGATATACATTTCTGGCTTTCTCCAATGCTAAATCAAGCCCTATAATTCTTAAAAATATGCCGATAGAAACAGCAATCAACCGAAAACATCCTTCACCAAATACGATAAGGCAAAACAAACAAAATTTGAATACTAGCAATTAAGCAATATGCATAGTAATGAAAACAATAGCGATTTATGAAGACATAAGAGGGCAACTGACCCAGACAATTCTTCTGGAATTTGGTGAGTCAGAATCCTTCTCACTTATGGCAGACTGCAATGTCTGATATAGCGCAGCAAGCGCTCCCTGTCCTGCAGTCTCAAGAATATTGCAACTACCGAGAATACAGCCTTTCGGCATACCCTTCTTCTTCATATATTCTTTCAAATTACTAACAATTGTCTCAGTTGGGTTCTCAGAAACTCCATGAAACTTCTTAAACCCTGTCACATGGATAGTCACTGCTGGTGGCCCTTCGGACCCCATTATCTGCCTATCTAAACTAACACGACAACGTAGTGACGTATACTATAGCATGAAAATTGAGTTCAATCTCTAATCACCTGCATTACAAAACATAAAACATGAATTCATCATTCATAAACCACCAAAAAAAGAAAAAGAAAAAGAAAGCTAATCAGAATTCATTCAAAATGTCCAGCACAACGACACTCCCCTTCATGGTTCAAAAACTTAAACCTTACCAAAACTAAACCAACTCTCCCCATCAATTAATTAACCAAGCAACTAAGCTTAATAAAAATTAAGGCAAATTTAACAATCATCATTAAAAATATTATTAACACAATCAAAAGTCATAATTTAACAATTGACCATACACTGATCCTATCACAGAAGCCAAATTAACAAACCCTGAAAATTCTACCCCTTTTGATTGGTAAAAACCTCTATAAGACTATAACTAGCTCAAAACGTATGAAACAGCAATAAAAACATGAATAATTCATTGAATTCAATCAAAAAACAAGCTGAAAAACAATTAAATTCATCGAAAGTAAGACCTCAAAAACACGAGACAACAACAACCCACTTGCCAAACCACCTAAAGATTAAAGTTTTCTTGCTGAATTCTCAATGATCCGATCCAAAACCAACAAAACAACCATCAAACAACACGTTCAATTCCATAACAAAATCATCACTCCACACAAAAAAAAAAAAAAAAATAGTAATAAGAACCCACCAAAAGCTCGATTGGGGAAATGATGAAGGAGAGCAAAAATACTGAGAGAAACAAGAACCCAGAAACCAATCCACGTAAAAACGAAGCAGAGGATTTAAATAAAGTAAAAAGTCCACAGTTTTTCGTAATCTTACCTGGAAAATAATTAATAAAAAGAAAGAGAAATTGAAAAAAGAAAAGGAAAAAGAAAAAAAAATTCAAAGAGATGACTCAACAACCAGTCTTATCATATTGATTTAACACAAGACTAAACTGATAAAGATTCCTATCTGATTAGATTAAGAGAGAGCGAGAGAAGGGGACAAGGTTAAATAAGAAATGAAAGAAGGGGATAGTGGAGGGGTCCCTTTCAAAAAGGGAAAAAATAAAGAAATAAAATAAAATAATTTAGTTTATATGTTGATTTATTTTAATAATTTATAATGTTGCTTGAGCTGATTTATAACACATGATTATATATGTTATTGGTCTATGATATTAAGATTAATTTATTAATGATTTTGAGGGTAATGGTACATAATGAAGTAACATTATATGCATGACAATATTAAGGTAATATTATGTGTTAGTGTTATCTAATATTAATTATTAAATCAATATTGGATGATCAGATAATAAAAGAGTAAAAGAAACAAAGAAGGATTTTAATTTACATATCTCTCGAGTTCGAGTCTCTACGACTATTAATTGAGATGTTGGTATTATTATAATGGTACCATATTGGGCTCGAGTAACCTTAGGGTTCACATGTTTTTAAAAAAAAAAAAAAAAAATTGTACAAGAATTAGGATTGATATGCACCAAAAAAAGATTCCTTGTTTTGTGAAAACTTTATTAGAATCACGTGCAACAACATTCCCATCACCACATGCTATTTTCAAAAAAATCATTTTAATTTCTTTATTTATTTTCTAATTTGTATGTAGGTGAGAAAATATATTGAAATTTCTTTAAAAATCAGTTCAATTCTTTTTTATCATTTACTTATTTTGTATGGAAAAAAGAAAAAAAATCAAGTAAATTTCGTTTCGTTTATTTTCTTGTGGTTGTTTTTAATACTTATTCAATTGATCTCTTAAGATAAGTAGAAGAAATAAAATTTGTCTCAAAGTCACAAAAATAATTTTGTTATTTTATAAGTAAACATCTCCATGCATAAAAAAGCTCTTGATCAATTTTATAAAACTTCAAATAATGTCAGAGATCATCTTTAGGAAGATTTGGGGTATACACGTCCATCTATTTTATTTTATTTTTATTTTTGATGACCGATGGTGTTTTTTTCAATTTACGTACAGTTTAGTTAATTTTTTGATACTTTAAAACTATCAACCGAGTAATAATCTAATAACGCACCTCAACTAATTCCTCTTAACCCTTAAATTATCGTTTGGGTAAGATCTCTAATAACTACCTTTCTTAGCAACCGAGGAGAAACTTGAACTTATGACTTCTTGATTAATACTATTAAGAGTTCTTATTGAATCACTTAGCCACTTAGAGGTAGTTCATGTTCATTTGTTTTATTTAAACTAAAACATAAATTAATGAAATTGCATATAAATTAATTGAGAAATTGGTAGCTTGCATGAACTTAAAGGAGTCAGTGTATATAATTTATCTGGTTTAATTTCAATCAAATCTTTTTTAATATAACAAATTATTAAAGTAAACAGTTAGCTAAGATTATGACAGCCAACACATGGGCCGTGACAGTACAAAAGCCTTTTTTTATTGTTTATTAATAAATGATTAAATTAATAAATCACATTGTAATTATTAATTAAGTAATAATGCAATAATGGAAAGAAATTGTTTTTCTTTGACTTAACTATCTCTTGCTTTTTATAGCCCACCCTTAATAATTAAAACTATGAGCTGGAAATGGGTGGTTCATTGAATATCAAAATAATGGTTTTTTTGTTTTGTTTTGTTTTTTTTTTTTTTTTTGTGGGATCTACTATAAAGGGTATATTGGGTAATGTCACTTTCTCATACCGTTCGAGTCTAATTAAGTAGATATAATATATTAAAAAAATACTATTTTGTACATCTTATTGTAATACGATCAGCCAATTAGAAAATAAAAATTCATTTGGTATGATTTATTGAGTAAAATTTATAAAAGAAGATATTACAGTAGAGCTTTTGTAAAAAAAAATATTAATTGTTTGATTAGGAAAATGTAAAATAGTTTTCTAATATTAATTTACCAAAAAAGTTTTAATAAACAAGAATAGATCAAGAGAAATTTATAAAATTGAATAGGGATATTTTTGAAATTTCAACATTTTTAATAAGTTCAAAAGGAGCTTATTTAAAATAGGGGGGTTTTCACAACGCCCTAATGTTTAATCAAATAACAAGATCTCTCATAAGATTTCAAAAATAAAAAATATTCATTTGTCGCTAGTGAGCTGTTAATTGACCATTAGAATTTATAACATGATGGGTCAATAAATATTTATCATATTGTCCATCTTCCATTTATTTTAACACCAAAACCTTAACGGTACGGGGATTTATGTTATTACTATAATTACACGAGGATTTTATTATTTGATTATACATAATGGGGATAATTGTTATAAACCATTTAAAATAACTTATTTGAAATGATACAAGCATTTTTAAAATGCAACCAAACAGTCTAAGAAATTTTTAAAAGTGTGCTTATAGCTTTAAATAAGCTCTTTTAACTAGTAAATAAAGCCAATTTTTGACCTCTTATGCTTTGATGTGTCAAAACTATCCAAAAAGTTGATTGATTATCAACCAAAACATGTTAAGGTATGACACAAGTCATAACCAAACCAAAACAAACTTGTCAGGTGGTATGACTGTGCGTAAGCCGAATTTTAAAGAGATATGACCGTGCGCGATTAAGGCACCCCCATTCGGTAAAAGAAAATTGCCCAGATGAACATGCCTTATTGCATGACCTCGTTCCTCATGGTCGTTCATCACCCTACAAAAATGTGTGGCACGTGCACAGCCATCTTGCACGATCGTTCCATTCAAGTCTAAAGTCAAAATTTTCAAATTCAGAATCCTTCACGATCTTGATTATTTTCCGAAGTCAAATCAAGTCACAACTCATGTATCAAAATAGGCACAATGTTCCTATCTAAAGAGTTTTGCAAATCAGATATCCAGGAAGCTGCGGTTGCTTCTGAAAAATCTTGTGGATTTGTAAGAGCAATTTGGGTAAGGTCATTCTGCATGGTGGAATGACGATGCAATGTCTTGCACGATCATACGACGAGGTGGAATGTTCATTCCAAAAATCCTAGATCTGAGAAAATATATTTGTTGTGTTAGGAATGACTATTTGCAATTATGAAATGACTGTTCCTCTGTGTCTACAACCTTTATAAGAACTGCATTAAATGAAGCAACGACTATAAATGGCTATATCTTAAAATCAGAGCATAAAAACACACTTTGAAGAAGAAAAAAGTAGGGGAGAAGAGCACAAAAAATCTATTGCAATGCTCATAGTTCAACATTGATTTTCCCTAACTCTCTTTGAACTAAATCTTCTATATTTAGAGAGAGAAACCTTGTAAAACATTGAGTTTATCAGCCTACCTCAGAGGCAATCATTCACAAACACTTTGATTCAAACCTTGGTGGTGAAATCCTATAAAATTGGGTGCAATCTTGTAAATCTAGTGTGTGGTGGCAAAATCCTTGTAAACTAGAGACGAAATCCTTGTAAAAAACTAGAGGTGAAATCCTTGTAAACTAGTGGCGAAATCCTGATCAACTAGAGGCAAAATCCTTGTAAACTATTGTATTGGTGTAATGCGATTATAGTGGAACTTCAAGGAAGTTGCCTTGAAGAAGTGGATGTTAAAGGCTTGTGGATATAGCTCCAAACCACTATAAATCTCTGAGCGTTTCTCTTCCCTTAGCTCATATATCATTATGAAATCCTTGTCAAAAACTAGAGGCGAAATCCTTGTAAACTAATGGCGAAATCCTGATCAACTAGAGGCAAAATCCTTGTAAACTATTGTATTGGTGTAATACGATTATAGTGGAACTTCAAGGAAGTTGCCTTGAAGAAGTTTATGTAGGAGGCTTGTGGATATAACTCCAAACCACTATAAATCTCTTAGCGTTTCTCTTCCCTTAACTCATATATTATTCTTTGCATATTTATTGCTTGCTCACCATTATTGCTCATATTTATAACTCTAAATCTCATTTATTGCTCAACATTGTTTATCTTTATTGTTTAACATCATTCTTATTTATTGTTTTCCATTGCTTATCTTTATTGATCGTTAACATTGTCATTCATTATTTGTTGAGTTTATTTATTATCATTGATTAGTTAAACTCATTGTTATTCATTGGTATTGTTGATAGTTTTTATTCCGCGATTATTTTTATAGATTCCTATTCAAACACACCCCCTCTCCCCTCTTTCTTTTGTAGGAATATTTGTCATATAGGGTTTTACACAATCAAATAGGTTATAAGCATATTTCATTCATACTTATGTGACATATTCATGTTAATTGGTTGTATTATGACAAGATATTGCATACATGGAATGGGTGTCACATAAGTGTGCTTTATTGAAAATATGTTTATTTAGTTGCATATGGGCCTTGAAAACCTACTTTTCATCTGAGCATCTACGATTTAAGTGGAAGCTGTGCCTATGGATTGCAACACTAGTTTTCCCCCGAGGACTAGTACAGGTGCATATAAGTTGGATCAAACACCTTGGTTACCCAAAAAAAAAGGTCTAACCTGTTTGGGGTCACATTAAGCGTGCATCATTGAAAATGCGTCTACTTAGTTAAGGAGACTTAAAACTTATAAACTAATATAGGGTGGGCTTACTATTTATGATACTATTTCGAATCCAATTTTCAAAATGTCTGTTTGTTTTATTAGTCAGGGAAATCTATCCCAAAAATTTGATTCCTGACATCTGCAATTTTTTTACCGTTCTGTTTGTGGGCCCCTGCCATCTGCAAGTTTTTTTCTCTTTTCCTTCTTTCTTCTTCTTTCACAAGTCTGTCTTCTTCCAACCACCATTACAACTCTCTCTTCCACCTACCATTCGCAATTGTTTTTTTCTCTTTTCCTTCTTTCTTCTTCTTCTTTCACCAGTC